TAAAACAAGTACAAGTACAAAAACAAAAAATATAAACCCCTATAAAACCAAATTAAAACCAAATATTTGAAGCTGTATTTCTATTAAAATTATTCTTAAAATCATCCCTAAATAAAATCCTCCCTAGGTCAGGCCCGCTTGCTGGAAAAGCCATGTCTTGAGGGCACGGCGGAAAGTAAGGAGATCCGGAATCGTCCGGTCCCACCCCCTTCTGCCAGAGACCCCCAGATCTGTCCCACTCCTGCCCAGGCCCCCACAGGCACCCTTGACGCGAACGATGCAGAGCTGGCCACGCCCACCCAGTAGGCCACACCCACTCCATCCACGCCCACCCAGTAGGCCGCACCCACCCTGGCCACACCCACCCAGTCCCCCCAAGGGCAACCGCAATGCTGATGCGGCCCTCCATGAAATTGAGTTTGACACCCCTGCCTCAAAGGGCTTACGCTCCGGCCGAAAAGAATATCAGAAGAAGAATGAAGACAGCAGAGTGGGGAATCTGGGTTCTGCACCCCAAAAGGATCCGAAGGTGCCTTCCCAAAAGGCCACTTGGACTTTCTTTGGTTTTTTTTTTTCCCTTGAAGATGTTTCGCTTCCCATCCAAGGGGCTTGTTCAGTTCTGAAAGAATGGTGGAGGATGGGAGGATTTACGATTTTCTCCACCATTCTATCAGAACTGAAGAAGCTTCTTGGATGAGGTGAAACGACTTCAAGGAAAAAGAAAGGAAGCCCAGTGGCCTCTTGAAAAAGCCCCTCTGGGACAATCGTGACCTGGGCGACTCAGAGCCTCCGTAGAACTGAGGAAGCTTCTTGGATGAGAAGCGAAATGTTTGACTTGGGTGATTGAGGCTCTCCACGGACACCCCAAAAGGAGAATATGGAGAGAGGAAAACATTATTATGGCGGAAAAATAGCCGTCAAGCTATTCTCCAAAGTGCCTGAAGGCAAAAGACAAGAAGCAACGGATGGAAACTGACCAAGGAGAGAAGCAACCTGGAACTAAGGAGAAACTTCCTGACAGTGAGAACAATTAACCAGTGGAACCACCTGCCTCCAGAAGCGGTGAATGCTCCAACACTGGAAGTTTTTAAGAAGAGACTGGACAGCCATTTGTCTGAAAGGGTATAGGGTTTCCTGCCTGAACAGGGGGTTGGACTAGATGACCTCCAAGGTCCCTTCCAACTACTACTACTACTACTACTACTACTACTTTCTTCTTCTTCTTCTTCTTCTTCTTCTTCTTCTTCTTCTTCTTCTTCTTCTTCTTCTTCTTCTTCTTCTTCTCCTTCTCCTTCTCCTTCTCCTTCTCCTCCTCCTCTTCCTCCTCCTCCTCCTTCTCATCATCATCATCATCATCATATTAACCAGTGGAACAACCTGCCTCCAGAAGCAGTGAAAGCTCCAACACTGGAAGTTTTTAAGAAGAGACTGGACAGCCATTTGTCTGAAATGGGTATAGGATTTCCTGCCTGAGCAGGGGGTTGGACTAGATGACCTCCAAGGTCCCTTTCAACTTTACTATTATTATTATTATTATTATTATTATGATGATGATGATGATGATGATTTTTGCCACCCTACAAAAGAGCAGAACTCAGCAAACCCCCCGGGCCTTGCTTTCTGGAATGCCACCCCCGAAACAGCTGGGCTGATGTGGTGCAGGGCAGGACTGGAACCCTGCCAGCTTCTCCCAATGCCCATCTCAAGAAAACACTGTTTTTAACATTACTCTCCATGGGCAGCTCCTGCCTGCCTGTGAGATTACGAGGGGCGAGCTGAACGTACATTCAAGAACAGGGCCGCAGAGGAGAACATAAAGAAAAGCTTGCAATTTACACCCGGGGGGTGGGGGGGAGAGGTAAAGTCCAGGAGAGATTTGGGTTCTCTGAGGGGGTCCTTGTGTTGAAGGTGACCAGAGACATCTCTAGGGAGGTTCTCCGTCATCCAGGTCACGGTCATGCCAAACGTGATTTTTTTTCCCCGGAGGACACTGGACTTGTTTTTTCTTTGAAGACGTTTCGCTTCTCCTCCAAGAAGCTTCTTCGGCTTCTGAATGGTGGGAAAATGGAAGGATTTATACTCCTTGCAGACCGCTGGTCATTTGCATTCTTTCTGAGAATCGTTGAGGCCACTTGGGAGGTTTGTGTCCTCAAGAGTCCAGGTGGCCTCAACGACTGTCTAAAACAGAGGTAGTCAACCTTGGCTCTTTTATGACTCGTGGACTTCAACTCCCAGAATTCCTGAGCCAGCACAGCTGGCTCAGGAATTCTGGGAGTTGAAGTCCACGAGTCATAAAAGAGCCAAGGTTGCCTACCCCTGGCCTAAAAGAACACAAATGAGCAGCTGTCTGCAAGGAGTATAAATCCTTCCATTATTCCCCACCATCAGGTCAGAGCAGAAGAAACTTCTGGGATGAGAAGTGAAACGTCCTCAATGGAAAAACAAGGAAGTCCAGTGGCCTCCTGGGAAAAAAAAAAAAGCCGATTGGGGCCTCCCAGAGACAGAAGCCCAGCTGAAGGCATCAGATCAGACTTGGGGCTTACCTGGCTGGCAGGCCAGTCTCAAGGGTGCTCCACCAGGACTAGCTGCTTGAAGGCTGCTTTGGGGGAGAGGAGAGGCTTGGCTTTTCGGGAGGCCCACAGGGTGACCGCCGCCGCCACCACCACGGTGATCAGGAGTGCTAGAANGATACTCCACCATCTCGTCGTGCTTCTCCTCAAAGAGGATCCGGCAGCAGCGCTGGGTGTACTTCATGTGGACGCCCCAGTACTCGATCTCCTCCAGGAAGTTGGCCGAGCAGAACTCGGTCAGGACCCACATGACTCCGCTGCGGTAGAAGTGGAAGACGTAGTGGAAGACGAGAGGGTCTCGGTCGAAGAAGTACTCATTCTTCAGCACCGAGTAGTCGTCGCACAGCTCCAGCTTCTTCACGGGATCCGCGCAGGTGGCCAGTTGCCCAATCCTGGTGAGGGGGTATTTGGCCGCCACTCGGATGGAGACATGGAAGTGTTGGCCTCCAACATTGAGGGTCAAGAAATTCGGATTCGACGGGTGGGAAAGGTCGTCGCTGTCCTGGGCCCAGTCGGCCAAATTGTGCATGGAGCTCCACGGCTTGACCAGCTTCTCCTGGGAAAAGGGGAGGAGGAGGTCCACGTTGTTGGCAGTCCTGCAGCACTTCTGACAGGCCCTAAACTTCATGTTGGCTGAGAGGCTTGCCCGTCTTTGCATGGTGGGCCTCATGGTGGTGGTTGAGGGGTCCTCCAACGGCCACCATCCGCGGCCGATGCCTTTAGGAGAACTGGGATTCTGTCAATTGCCGAGTTGCTACTCTTAGCAGCTCTGAACTGCTCACTCGTGTGCCACCAAACCAGCTGAGCCCCACAAAGCCGCTAGATCCCAGTTATGGGACTGGATGGAACTGGAAGCAGCTGCTTCTGAGCTTCTTACGGCATTAATCAGATTATGCTCTTAAAATGTCAACTTAAGAAGCTAATCTGGAAGTTTGAGTTGGGCCGGTATGATCTCACTTTTTTTTTTTAAGATGTCGTGTTTGAAGGGCTTCAAGACACAGGGGTGAGCAACCATGTCAACTTTATGACCTCCTGGACTTCAACTCCCAGAATTCCCGAGCCAGCCAGGACCACGATTAGCCCTTCAGTGCGGAATAGCAGGATATCCCACGGCTGCAGACTATTGAACTGTCAAGAATGAAACTTTGGTAACGACATGTCTCGTTTCAACTTGCCATTAGAATGAGAAAAAAGAAACCTCTCCGATTCCGCTGAAGACTGTGAGAGCCTGAAACCTCTCCAAGGACACCGCAGCAGGTGTGGAGAGGAAGCAGACGGTTCCCATAACAAAGTGAAATTGTTTACATGGACTAGGTGAGAGGTTGGGGTTTTGGCCCAAGAAATGATGGTTTAATTCTATGAACTGGTGCCTGGGAAACTCAGAGTTAGTTTTGCTTCGACACCACCATGCCGTGTATTCAATAAACAGTTGAGATTTTCGGAAACGGAATGGACTTGGAGTTTTATTTGGATTCTCGAGCTGGATGTTGACATGAACGTTCAAAGAAATCCCAGAAAACAGTGGTGTTTCTGGTTGGGGTGCTTCTCAAGGCCATTGTAAGGAGGGAAAGACGCCCCTGAAAGCTGGGAGTAAAGATGAAGAGGAGGGGTCTGAAGAAGGGATAGGGGTGGGAGGCACTTTAATGAGCGGGGGAGATTCCAGGAGAACCCCCCAACACAAGAGCTGGGAAATGATTTTTAATGTTCGCACTACAACAGGAGGTTGACACCAGTGCTGCACAAGCAGAACCCCCAAGCTGAACGAGACTCGAAAAAAAAAATTAGGGGTGCCTTTCCTGCCTCAAAATAGATCAAATTCTCACCTCCCACCCAATCTCAGTTAAGTGACGATCCCGGTAACCAGGCGGTGTTCACTCCAGATGGCAACGCGACAGGAAAAACCAGGAGCAGCCAAAACCAATGTTTGTCCTATCGGGGGTCCATCAGCCTTCCTGAACTTCCAGAAGTTGAGAAGAACAGAATAACAGAGTTGGAAGGGACCTTGGAGGTCCTCTAGTCCAACCCCCTGCTCAAGCACGAAACCGGGCCTAGACCATTCGAGACCGATGGCTGTCCAGTCTTAAAAACCTCCAGTGATGGAGCACCCACAATTTCTGGAGAGCTCTTGTTCAACGCACCTGGAGGCACTGGACAAGGGAAGCACCAACCCCTCCCACTCCACCCCCCAGCAGCACCATGAAAGGAAAGTGGGATCTGGCAGCTTAGGGTCTGATCTGAGGGAGAGCAAAGGCCATTTTGCTCGGAGAGGCTCCCCAGAGCCTGGGCTGAAGGACCTCTGCAGGAGAGGGCACCTGCAGAGCTGCTGCGGAAGACAAGCCCAAACCGGCAGCGAGAGACACCGGGATATATTTTAAATATTAAACCTATTTTAATTTCCCCCCATAGGAGGCGGACTTCTGTGGACGGCCTGCAGGCCATGTGGCTTCCCAGACTCAGTTCCTGCGAGGGGACCCAGCACGTCGACGCCAGCCTTTTTGATCCAAGGATTTTGCCCGAGGTTCCTGGGAAGAGCAGGTGACGGAGTCCGTTGCGTGAGGGAGCAAGGAGCAACTTCCTGGGAGAAAGGAAGGAGAGGAGAAGAGGCTTTAGACTCCTCAAAGCAGACATGTCAAACACAAGGCCCGGGGGCCGGATGCGGCCTGCAAAGTGGTTTCATGTGGCCCATGAAGCCATCCTGGAAACAGTGAGGGAACGGCCCCCTCTGCCTTGGCCCTGACCTAGGCCAGCCGGGAGCCCATGTACAATTTTGTGGTGGCCATCTATGCTGAAACGTGTTCAGTCTTAGCTCCACAAGGTCCTCTGGAAACAGCGGGGAACCAGCCCCTGGGTGCATGTCGACCCCCGCCCCCTGGGTGCATGCTGGGGAGGGGTCACCCTTTGTGGGGAATGAAGAAATGCACCATCGCCTGGAAGTGGCCAGCAAATGGCCCTGGCCTCCTTCACCTATCCGGCTTGGTGGGCTCCGGCGGAGGGGTTTCGGCAGGCAGTGAGGCTCCTCCAGTGGACCATTTATTTATTTTATTTATTTATTAAATTTATATACCGCCATATCTCCCTTACGGGACTCAGGGCGGTGAACAGGCGATACTAAAAACCACAATAATAATTAAATAGTTTCTGTGCTAAAATCGAATTAAATAACAGGCCTGTTCTAAAAACACCCCATACAAAACCCCCACTAAAACATAATCAAACCATGCCTTGGCGCTTGCCCCGGTCCCACCCCCTTCTGCCAGAGACCCCCAGATCTGTCCCACTCCTGCCCAGGCCCCCACAGGCCCCCTTGACGCGAACGGTGTAGAGCTGGCCACGCCCACCCAGTAGACCACACCCACTCCATCCACGCCCACCCAGTAGGCCGCACCCACCCTGGCCACACCCACCCGGCCCCCCCCAAGGGCAATTGCAATGCTGATGCAGCCCTCCATGAAATTGAGTTTGACACCCCTGCCTCAAAGGGCTTACGCTCCGGCCGAAAAGAATATCAGAAGAAGAATGAAGACAGCAGAGTGGGGAATCTGGGTTCTGCACCCCAAAAGGATCCGAAGGTGCCTTCCCAAAAGGCCACTTGGACTTTCTTTGGTTTTTTTTTTCCCTTGAAGATGTTTCGCTTCCCATCCAAGGGGCTTCTTCAGTTCTGAAAGAATGGTGGAGGATGGGAGGATTTACGATTTTCTCCACCATTCTATCAGAACTGAAGAAGCCTCTTGGATGAGAAGTGAAACATCTTCAGGGAAAAAAGAAAGGAAGCCCAGTGGCCTCTTGAAAAAGCCCTTCTGGGACAATCGTGACCTGGGCGACTCAGAGCCTCCGTAGAACTGAGGAAGCTTCTTGGATGAGAAGCGAAATGTTTGACTTGGATGGTTGAGGCTCTCCACGGACACCCCAAAAGGAGAATATAGAGAGAGGAAAACATTATTATGGCGGAAAAATAGCCGTCAAGCTATTTTCCAAAGCGCCTGAAGGTAAAAGACAAGAAGCAACGGATGGAAATTAACCAAGGAGAGAAGCAACCTGGAATTAAGGGAGAAACTTCCTGACAGTGAGGACAATTAACCAGTGGAACCACCTGCCTCTAGAAGCGGTGAATGCTCCAACACTGGAGGTTTTTAAGAAGAGACTGGACAGCCATTTGTCTGAAATGGTCTAGGGTTTCCTGCCTGAGCAGGGGGTTGGACTAGATGACCTCCAAGGTCCCTTCCAACTACTACTACTACTACTACTACTACTACTACTACTTTCTTCTTCTCCTTCTCCTCCTCCTTCTCCTCCTCCTCCTCATCATCATCATCATCATATTAACCAGTGGAACAACCTGCCTCCAGAAGCGGTGAATGCTCCAACACTGGAAGTTTTTAAGAAGAGACTGGGCAGCCATTTGTGCGAAATGGTATAGGGTTTCCTGCCTGAGCAGGGGGTTGGACTAGATGACCTCCAAGGTCCCTTCCAACTACTACTACTACTACTACTACTACTTCTTTCTTCTTCTTCTTCTCCTTCTCCTCCTCCTTCTCCTCCTCCTCCTCCTCCTCATCATCATCATATTAACCAGTGGAACAACCTGCCTCCAGAAGCGGTGAATGCTCCAACACTGGAAGTTTTTAAGAAGAGACTGGACAGCCATTTGTCCGAAATGGTGTAGGGTTTCCTGCCTGAGCAGGGGGTTGGACTAGAAGACCTCCAAGGTCCCTTCCAACTTTACTATTATTATTATTATTATTACTACTACTATTACTACTACTACTACTATTATTATTATTATTATTATTATTATTATTATTATTGCCACCCTACAAAAGAGCGGAACTCAGCAAATCACCTGGGCCTTGCCTTCTGGAATGCCACCCCCGAAACAGCTGGGCTGATATGGTGCAGGGCAGGACTGGAACCCTGCCAGCTTCTCCCAATGCCCATCTCAAGAAAACACTGTTTTTAACATTACTCTCCATGGGAAGCTCCTGCCTGCCTGTGAGATTACGAGGGGCGAGCTGAACATACGTTCAAGAACAGGGCCGCAGAGGAGAACATAAAGAAAAGCTGCTCAACCCCAAAGCATCGCAAACCTTGCAATTTACACCTGGGTGGGGGGGGGGAGAGGGAAAGTCCAGGAGAGATTTGGGTTCTCCGAGGGGGTCCTTGTGTTGAAGCTGACCAGAGACATGTCTAGGGAGGTTCTCCGTCATCCAGGTCACGGTCATCCCAAACGTGATTTTTTTTCCCCGGAGGACACTGGACTTGTTTTTTCTTTGAAGACGTTTCGCTTCTCCTCCAAGAAGCTTCTTCGGCTTCTGAATGGTGGGGAAATGGGAGGATTTATACTCCTTGCAGACAGCTGGTCATTTGCCTGCTTTCTGAGAGTCGTTGAGGCCACTTGGGAGGTTTGTTTGTGTCCTCAAGAGTCCAGGTGGCCTCAACGACTGTCTAAAACAGGGGTAGTCAACCTTGGCTCTTTTATGACTCGTGGACTTCAACTCCCAGAATTCCTGAGCCAGCTGTGCTGGCTCAGGAATTCTGGGAGTTGAAGTCCACGAGTCATAAAAGAGCCAAGGTTGACTACCCCTGGCCTAAAAGAACACAAATGACCAGCTGTCTGCAAGGAGTATAAATCCTTCCATTATTCCCCACCATTCGGTCAGAGCTGAAGAAGCTTCTGGGATGAGAAGCGAAACGTTCTCAATGGAAAAACAAGGAAGTCCAGTGGCCTCCTGGGAAAAAAAAAAACCGCCGCTTTGGGCCTCCCAGAGACAGAAGCCCAGCTGAAGGCATCAGATCAGACTTGGGGCTTACCTGGCTGGCAGGCCAGTCTCAAGGGTGCTCCACCAGGACTAGCTGCTTGAAGGCTGCTTTGGGGGAGAGGAGAGGCTTGGCTTTTCGGGAGGCCCACAGGGTGACCGCCGCCGCCACCACCACGGTGATCAGGAGTGCTAGAAAAGGGCAGAGAGGAGAGAGAGAGAGAGAGAGATGGGTTAACCTCAGAAGCCGGCCTCATTCCTGGAATAGCCGTGGGAGGGGGGATGCCGGCCAGCTCTGATTGTTTTCAGGAGAGACCCCCAAAAGCCAGCTGGGTCCCACCGGTCCTTCCGTGGGCAACGGGGTTCCCCGGCTGCTCTGGGTCCCCCTACTCGGCCCCCCCTTTGCCCCCCTCTCCTCGCAGCGCCCTGCTCCTCGCCTACCAGAAGGCCCGTCCCAAGCAGGAGACCCAGGTGGAGCGGATGACCAGGCGCCAGGCCAAGCAGCGCCAGGCTCTCGCGCAAGCCCTCCAGCAGCTGCAGGGCCGAGTGTCCGCAGGGGCGCCGACCGGCCCCCCACGGCTGCCCGCGATGGACGAGAGCATCCTGGACCCGCCCGGGAATTTGAAAGCCCCCCTTTTTAGATTTTGATCACGTGACCACGGGGACGCTGCGACGGTCGGTAAGCGCGCAAAACGGTCACAAGTCCCTATTTCCAGTGCCGTGGCAACGTTGAACCCTCCCGATTTGCAAGGCCAAAATTGGCCTCGGGCTGGCGACCCTGAGATTTGGGCAGGAGGGGGCGCTTTGCTTGGCGCAACCTGAGGGTGGCGCCCCTTGCCCAGGGACGCTCAGCAGCCTCCGGGGAGGAGGGGAGGCCGACCCAGAGGTAAAGGAAGTCCTGGGCTGAACGGGCACAACGGAGCCCAGAAGTGCCACCGCTCAGCGAAACCATTATGGGGTGGGCTTTGCCCCATTTCACGACCGTTCTTGCCACGGTTGTTAAGTGAATCTGGCAACTTTGAACAGTCACTAATCAAACCTTTTGCTGTCCTATGTAGGATGCCACATTGGTGGAGATGGATCAGACCCCACAACAGGTGGCCCTTGGCTTAGCAAACGTTCGTTTAGTGACCGTTCAAAGTTGCCACGGCACTGACAATAGGGACCTGTGACCGTTTCTCACGCTGATCGACCGTTGCAGCCTCCCCGTGGTCACGTGATCAAAATTGGGACGCTTGGCCACTGGCTCGTATTTACAGTGTCCCGGGGTCCCCTTTGGCGAACTTCTGACACGCAAAGTCAAGGGGGAAGTCCGGATCCACTTAACAACCCTGTTACTAATTTAGCAAGCGCAGGGATTCACTTAACAACCGTGGCAAGAACGGTCGTGAAACGGGGCAAAGCCCACCCCATAGTGGTCTCGCTGAGCAGTGGCAGTTCTGGGCTCCATTGTGCCCGTTCAGCCCAGGACTTCCTTTACCCCTGGGTCGGCCTCCCCTCCTCCCCAGAGGCTGCTGAGTGTCCCTGTGCAAGGGGCGCCCCCCTCAGGTTCCGCCAAGCAAAGCGCCCCCCCTGTCCCCTCCCCCCAAATCCCAGGGTCGCCAGCCTGCTCGTTTCACGAGGCCAATTTCGGCCTTGCAAATCCGGGATGGTGGAACCGGCCGATTTCCCCAATTCCGCTTGGGGGAGACCAAGGTGGCTCTGCCAGCCTTACTCACCGACAATGGCAGTGATGGTCAAAGGGTCCAAGGCCAGGGTTTCTGGGGGAGCGCTGGGGCCTGTAAAAGAAAAGGGGGGGGGGAGGAAAGCAGAGTTTAATACGCACACATGCGGAAAAAAATAAATGAAAATGGAATTTTATTCTGTAGGCTGGGATTAAAGAGGAATTGTTGAAAAAGCTGAAGTGACTGGCAGAGAGATGCATTTAAGTAGGTTGGATTCATGACTTCTGCTATTTCTTTCTTTTATTTCCTTCCTCCCTTCCTTATCTCTCTCTCTCTGTCTGTCTCTCTCTCTCTCTCTCTATATATATATATATATACACACACACACACACATATATATATATACATATATGTATCATCTCCTGGTATCTATCTATCTATCTATCTATCTA